TCCACGGACGGGCACTATGGGCTGATAGTGCCTCTCCGCGGATGAACACTATCGCGTCACGTGATCAATTTAAACCAATAAGAATTGGAGAAAATTTAATGGTGAACTATAACACCTCATAGAAATCTCCAGTTCATAATCTAATTGTTAAATAGTGCCACGTGAATCCTACTGAGGCAAGAAATGTTTCCCCTAGCAACCAACTGTGTACCACTGCCCACGAGCCCTATCCAGGCCTGCTATGTATTTTGTCTAAGTTCTCAAAAAAGCCAAGATGCTTGGTCCCAACCCCATCCCCCGTGTCAATGCAGGGTTTTGAACTCTTTTCGAGGTCGTGACAAAAAATCCTCAAAAAAATCTGTTCAGCGTTTTAGATTTCAAACTGAAGTTATTACTTTCAACTTTTAATTTCATGCTTACCTCGGCTCCGCGATACACATAACTTTCGCTCTTTGCGAGGTCGCATGAATGTTCGTTGTCGTGTTCATAAGTAGCGTTATTCAGATCACACTTGTTTTGTCCATTTGCATCTTCCTTCTCGTCAAAATTATAACTGACACAGTTTGGCTCCATGTAGCATTGCAGCTCGCAGAAATCTTCATTCATGACGCCAATGGTACGTATCACGTGATTATTCAGCCGGTGACCATGGATTGGAGCACTTGTGAATCTCAAATTGCGACATTGACCTGAAAAAGGTAAATTTGGACATGCCATTCTTACGCTCAAAATTACTTTCAGTAAATAGAATAATAAAGCAAATTTCAAAAGATGGAGGTGGACACCCTGACTCAAATTCATTTCCGGCCACTGAAGCACCTGAATTGCGTCTGACCATTCTCGAGCCAGGCTAACGACTGCATTGATCAGGAGGTCCATTCAGAGTTTTGCTACGCACTCATGGACTGTTGCTGAATATTGACTCTAACGAAAGAAGGAAGGCGGTCGAGTAACTCTTTACCTCTGTGGGCGTCGTTTTTAGTCCGAAGTCCGAAGGACGGAGTACTATTAAGTCAATTTTTTGGACAGTTGGACATTAAATATGACGACATCCGATAACGTTTTTTTTTTCTAGAGTGGAAACTCCCTCACGGGGTAGGTGAGGCAAGTGGGTCTTTGAATAATACTAAGAAACCTGCCTCTTTCCCACTCCCCAGAGATTTTTGTGGTACTTATTGATCAAAGATACATACATATATACATACATAAACTTTATTAACGTGTCTTTCTATCTAGTCGATGGAAAAAAAAAACCCTCTACTCATTGGAGTCGTCGGCCTGAACACATGTGAAACAAAACCACGATACGGAATACTGCGGACAAGTTTAAAAGGGACTTTCTCGTCTACAGCAGTATGGAAATATCACTGGTTCAACCTAATTAAATGTATCGCTTATTATAGATTAACACTCTCTTCTAGAGGAATTGGATGACACAAATATACTTTTGGAGAACGCTCATAACTAAGTCAATATTTTTTATAAACACGATCTTTCTGTCGTTCACCTATTTATTATTACGCAGCTTTATAGATATATTAGCCTTACTGCTGCCGTTAGGTGAAGCCTGAACAAAGAATTTCTCACCCAAACCGCGCGTGGTAACACAAACATAATAGACAGCGATGATAATTGGAATCTATTACCATATAAAGAAGCTTACCATATCAAGCGTTCAGCACCATATTTGAACACTGGTTTAAAAGCCAGTAGGGAACTATGCCTATTCCCTCGATAGTGGTTGCGGTCACATCTGGGCTACTAACTATAGTGAGCTATTTCGGTAATGTGACCGCTTTTCTGTTCGCTCTAACTATGGTTAGAAAATTTACGCCTTGGTGATCCAAAACAATACAGACTAACTACAGTTATACCCAAGCAGGGTTCATGGGTTAGTCATAAGTTTACAAACAAACAACCAATCAGAATGTGACAATTCATTTCGCACGTGCGAGATGAGCATATATAAATATGCAAAATAAAAACCAAGCTTGAAGCGAGGGGAAAACCAAAAACAACAAACAAAAAATTTACATACAACAAGGTAGCAACACGTGTAGCCAATACACCTTACTCCAAAATGGCCGCAAATTTAGTATTCTTTTGTTTACTTGCAAATTAGCCCTTGTTGCCTCGTTTAAGGGAAAATATTCTTTTGAATTTCGAGTTTAAGAACGAGGCGACAAGGGCTAATTTGCAAGTAAACAAAAGAATACTAAAATGGCGGCCATTTTGGAATAAGGTGTATTGTAACAATTGTAATGCCTTCTTCGGCGTCGAGCATCCGTTAAAATTCTCAGCTTATTTCCTATTTTTCTCCGACGGTTTCCCGCTCGAAAAAAAAAGAAATAAGAAGAAAAGCTAGACACACTTGACGCCAGTCAACCATGTTGACATTTCACGGATCAACAATAAAGGCCGTCACGAACCTCATTTAATTTGACGTAATCCATCGGCTAATTAGAACTAATTGTAGTTAACTGCGTGGTGTGACCGCAAAGTCGACCGAAAGCACTAACTACAGTTAGGTGTGACGTCACGTAACTTTAGCTACGTCGTATATGTGACCGCAGCCAGTATCGTCTTTTTTTGTGTGTGTTTTCACGTGCTAATGCTAATGTTACCATCTTGCAGTATTTAAATTTCTGCTGCCTGTATGTCACCTCAGTCTGAAGATGATATAGAATTATATTGAAATATTACAAGTACATCAACGATTCCTTGCATTTGTGGCCTGTATTATAGACACAATACATTTACTTGACACAATACATTTACTCGGTATCTCTTCAAGTTCTCAGCGGGTAATGGATTTTAAGAAGACGGGTCATTATTTATTTTGTATGCCACTAAATGTAAAAACAAACTCTTTTACGATCGTTTTTTCTCAATTTCGTCTGAATTTGGGAAACACCAAAGATAACAAACAGGGTATTATACGATAGAATATACCAGCTCGCTTTTTTCCCGAGATTATAATTTTTTCGACAAATGATAAAAGCACGACGGTATTTTAACAAATTTGCATGGGCATAACAAAACCACCTGTTCAAGTGTAAGTTAAAACTTCCTCTTTGCAGTGTTGTGAAGTGTATATGAAATAATTCATATTTTGAACTGCGGTTCTAGATGAAGGTGGAGAATGATCATCGCAGTAAATTTTCCAATTTAAGCAATTCGAGAGAAGCCTGTTTTTTCAGGCTTCTTCTTTCCAATTGCTTAAATTGGAAAATTTACTGCGATGATCACTCTTCACTTTCTTTGCAGTGTGTTAACGTCTTAATGCAGTGACTTATTTATTAAGAGCGAATGTGCCCAAATGTCGAACATTTTCAAAATATGGCGGCAACAGCCAAAAAATCAATTCGGCTCATATTCTCAGGTTAGGTAGGCTTAGTGTGAAACAAATCACAAATTTTGGCTCAATTTAGTTCGCCAAACTGTACCAAAAAGCAAGCCATAGGAAAAGAAAACTGGTAATTATTTCTGCTTAGTTTTAAATTAAAATTCAAAAGTGTTTTTGCAAATGACGGAAATCTACCCCAAAACCCGACATTTGACTGATTTGGTTACTTAACGTCCCTAAATTGTTATCATTGAGAAACAGTATTTTCAGATTTCGCCACCGACTGCATCTGCTCCCCTCAAATAAACCTTAAATAAAAAAACTCTTAAGGTGTTCGTTAAACCCTTGAGTTTGTTTACCATTAAATTCTTTGTAATATCAGTTTTTTTTTTCAATCTTTTCAGAGATAAAAAACTTTGAAAACATTCACTGGTTAAAAATGTTTAGAGCCTCGACTCCGGCAACGCCAGTCTTCGACAGGTGCAGTGATAAGAAAGTGGTGAAAACAGATCTGCAATAGAGATGCTATGAAAGACTACAACAGAATAAAATTATGGAAATAAATCTAAGAATTTTGTTGAAAAAAGTCTTATTTTGTCCTGGAGGCTACAGTTATTGCAAAATCTGAAGGTTACCGTTGTATGCCAACTACTCTCTAATACGATAATTGTCTTTGTGTTAACATGGGAAAAAGGCCATATACATGCTTAGCAATTCTACAGCGTTAGGCCGTTGCAGTTTCACGGTCATGATTTTTAACATGCCTTGCTTTGTACCCAAATAAGTTGCAAATTTACTTGTAACGTTTTAGGCTTTTTTTAGGTGTTTTTTCTCTTGCACATAGAAAATTTTAAAACAGGTGAATGTTGTGAGTATTCGTAATTTTCGCAAAGTGTTGGCTGATTAATTATCATTCCGACCGCGTCAAAGCTATATATTAATAAAAGTCTCGTCTGGAAGCCTTAATTAAGTGGAATTGAGTCAGTCAAGGATGCTGAAAACTCTCGTTCATCCT